TTATTTTTCTTTCCCTTTCCGCTGTGTGGTAGAAACAAGTTATCCAATGTTGTCAGCTCTTGTTTGATTACGCTTTCTTGGATTTTTTTATTTGTTTCTTTTTGTATTTTCTTTTTTTGTTTCCTCAGTTGAGCTTTATGTTAAAAACAACCTGTCATTTGATTTCGTTACTACTTGTGAGCATTAGGCATGGCTTATAGTTGCATTATCTTAATGTAGCCCTTTCTGTTCAGCAACCTTGTATGTATTCTTACCATACAGGAAATTGTTATGCAAAATGTGGCATGAACACAAACCTTATATTTGTGGTTGGCAAATACGGGGCGGGGAGAAGATAGAACAGTACTAGGAAGGTCATGAGATGTTAGTCTAATTAGCATGGTTTTGGCAGAGGAAAATTGTATCATGCTGATCTGAGAACTCTTTGAACTTGTCATTGTTGTGGACAAAAGAGGGGAAGAAAAAAGAATAAATTAGAGCTTTCAAAACGCCTGTGACAAGTTCTTATCCAAGAGGCAGTTGAACAAGCTGAGGGAGTCGTGGGATGAAAGTGAAAGGTTTGTTTGTGTAAAAGGCACAAGCAAAAAAAAAAAAAGGTTTTAATCTTGGCAAAGGTAAGCTCAAGAGTCTAGAAGCTGCACTTGAAGATACTCTCTAGTGATCAGGATAGCAGCTGGCTAGTAAGGTACTGACACTTTTATAGGTGACATAAGTAAGGAGCAAGAGCTTCTAATGCAAACCAAAACAGCCTGACTGATTGGACAGAACAAGGATGGTTTGGATTTTAATAAGTATAAAGCAATGTGTATAGAAAGAAAGAATGTAATCTGCCTGTGTCTTACAGAGCTTTACATGGATTCAGAAAGGGTGCCAGGCATCTCTGTGTCAGGTTGAAGGCAAGTCTCTGTGCAGTTGGGTTTTAGAGATAAGGTACTGTGGCATTATAGAAACTGTTGCTGCTGGTCTTTTCCAAGTGCAAAATTTAGGAAGTTTCAGGAATTGATTCCATGTGTATATGACTGCCAGGATTATTGATTGTGTAAGAACCTCTTGGAAGAGAAACTAAATGCTCTGGCCTGAAACCTAAGCTATCAGAGGGCAAGATGGGATCTAATACAGAGGACAGACTTGTATTTTGCACATTCTTGCATGTCTGAGATTGGTCATCAAAATCAGAGAAAATAGTTTTTATACTGGAAATTTTAACGTGGAAATCATGAAGTAGTCTGTAGCTTAAGCAGGTTGGATAAACCCACCAAACCCTGGTTTCCTACCCCAGGCAAGAGTAGTATTTTTCTAGATTAAAATTCATTTTTATAATTGGATAAATCCTCCAAATGTGTGTGCTGCTTTCTTCCTAGTACTTTTATTAAGTGAAGGAAGGGTGTTTTAAACTAGAACTTCATGCAGCTTTGCAGGTAAGAAGATATCAAGGTATTCGTGACTACTGCCTCTTTATGGATTGATGTGTGGTGGTATTTTGATAATTGAGAAGTAATAAATAGGTTTACAAATACTGCATATCACCTGGGAAGTGAGAGGGCGTAACATCAGAATAGCGCAACCTCTTGTGCGTGTTTGTCGTGACCATAACGGCTAAAGGCCAAGCAGGGTAAGTAAGAACATGTGGGTATACTTTATTGTAAGTTTTCAGTGAATCCTGTCTTGGTTTTGCCAAGGGAATTGTTTCCAGATTACAGGACTAAAAATGACCAAGTTACTTGGTTCCTCTGAAGAGGAACAAGTTGGCAGATACTGCTGCTAGTTTTGGTAAGCTCTGACAGGGCTGAAGATACTTTGAGGGGAAGATCTGCAGATGGGATTTGTTCTTTCTGTAATCCCCTCGGCAAAGCAGGCAGACATTTGGTTGGTAGGCTTATATTTAGGCTGTTAAGCAGTTGTATCAGGTGTCTTTGGGCTGTTCTGGTTGCTTTTTTTTAATATTAAAAAACCCTGGTATTTACAAAGTGTGTTTGGTCACCGGTTGCTGCTGGTGCTTCTGAGAAAAGTTTGTGATGTGAGTCTTAAGTCAGGTCTCCTAGTTAAATTGTGGGGATTTTTAATAAAGATGGGAATGTATCTGCTATGACAGAATCATGTGATTCTTGTTATTCCTCCAAAGCATTTGACAGAAGCCTGAAAGCTAGAAATTGTGCTCAGAACACCAATAGGGATCAGAATTAGAAATTATTTGGCTATTATGACATTACTTATACAAATCTTGTTCTGCATTCTTGCAGGAGGTATCTTAAGTATGTTCCTGTCTACTTCTCACAAGCCCTGTCTACATGCTGAAACTTTAATGTATCTTTTAGAGATTCCCCATGGTTCCTGTCTTTTTTGGAAATAAAGTACCATTATGGGTTAGCAATGTCAATCTTTAAACTTATTTATTAAGGCAATAGTTGAATGGATAAATGTAGAGGTAGGATTATTCTCTTGTCTTTTTCATTGATTTTGTTCAGTATAATACAGAAGGTTCTCTGGAGTGGTGTGGGTAGAACACTTGCTGCAACAGGAGAACATTCCTTTTGAATTTTTTATATACAGAAATGTACTTCTACCTGTCCAGGGGTCTCTATCTCTTGTGTTACCTTAGACAAAGCCTTTGTTTCTTGAGTGTCTGTCTTTACTAATTAGCTGAGGCAGTGTACCATGTTAACCATTGTGTACTGTTTCAAGGGTCTAGCTCTCTGCAGAACACTGCATGGTGTAATGCAGAGATGACTGCTTTCAAAATGACAAAAAAAAAATTCTCATTCCAATGCAGTGTGCAAATGCAAATGTTCCTGTTATTGAAACTGATGCATTTTTCTGCCAGTAAGCAAAACAGTAAAAATAATGTGGTGAAAGCTGCCCTTTCTCTGCTTGCATGTCTCTAAATGAAATTAACTTCCCTGCTGAAACCAAGATATTGATAGATAGCATGTTAATGTGATTAACTGGAAGTCAACACAGTGTTCATGTGTGGAGGTCTCTGAGGGGGGCAGAGTTCTTCCTTCGTATTCCTAAAGTGTGACCAAAGAACACTGAACTCTGTGGCATTCCAAAATGAATAATATCTGACTTACTTTGTTTAACTACGAATGCAAAATACGTAAAGATGACAATGTTAACTGGTGCAAAAAAGAAAGCAAGAAATGTATGAAAGTACTCTTACATTCTAGTGGGGAAAATGTAATTTAATGCTCTGTCACTTCTCATTGAGATTTATGCTTGCTTTCAGCACTTAAAGAATATTTATTTCACAAGTTAAAAAAACAAAACAAAATGTCAGGCAGCAGGAGCAAGGGCAGGCTGAAGGGAAGGCAAGCTGGGAGTCAAGGGTGACAACAAGGCAGGTAGGGACAGTACCCTCATTGGTAAGGACTCAGTCCTCCAGTACCTGCATGGGGCAAACAGGGTATATCTGATGACAGCAACCAGGTTCGGCCAACAGTCTGGGTCTCCAGGCAAGTCTATAGTGATGATCTCAGGTGAAGCAAGGAAGTCAAGTCAGTGCGTCATGGACTGGATCAGTGGGGTGCATGGCCAGGCACAGGCATGGCTGCAGCGTAGCTCAGGTGAGAACCAAGGACAAGTGCCTTAGTTTGAATGCAGCTCTTGAGTGAAGGTGAGGATGCCCCAGAAAGGGCTTCTCACACTTCTTTCTTACACAACTCTTCACAATGGTCTTTACTGGTCAGATTTGCCTTCAGGAATCCCAAGCATCTGAAACTAGTGGCAAAGTCTGGAGCAAAGAAGACACAACGTCATTAGAGCAGGATCAGCTTAGCAAACATTTAAACAAATTTGACACATGCAAGTCTGTGAGACCCAAGGAATACACCCACGAGTGCTGAGGTAGCTGGCCAAAGTCATTGCGTGACCAATCTTGATTGTCTCAGAAAGGTAATGATGGTTGGAGGAGGCTTCTGAAGATAGGAGTGACATTTGCTTTCTTCCAATCCTCAAGAAGGGCAAAAAGGACTATCCAGGGAATTACAAGTTGGTCAGCCTCATCTTCATCCTTGGGAAGGTGATTGAGCAAATAATCCTGTAAAGCATTGCTAAGCATACTAAGGGCAGGATGGTGATTGGAAGTAGTTGGCATGGATTTACGAAGGAAAAATCGTGCCTGACCAACCTGATAGCCTTCTACAACAAATTGACTAGGTTGTTGGATAAGGGGAGAGCAGTGAATATTGTTTATCTTGACTTCAGCAGGCTTTGGTCACTGTCTCCCATGACATCTGATGAAGTATGGACTAGATACGTAGACATTGTGGTGGACTGAAAACTAGCTGAACTGCCAGGCTTAAAGGATTGTGATCAGGGGCATGAAGTCCAGCTGGAGGCCAGTCACTAGTGGTGTATCCCAGAGGTTGATACTGGGGCCATCCTTGGAGGTACCCAAAATGTGACTGGACACAGCCCTGGGCCGCAGACTCTAGCTGACCCTACTTTGAGCAAAGGGGTTGGAGTAGTCAATGTCTAGAGGTGCCTTCCAACCTCAAGGATTCTGATTCTGTGATCAAGGGTTGCACAACTGCACAGTGTCAATGTTGGCCTTGATGACAGGCAGCTAAACTCCTCCAAGAGTGGTTTTTTTCCTGCAGTGTGTGTTTTTCCTACTTAATCTGTTCTTTCACAGACTACTGGATGACTGTTTTTTTATGGTGCAGGGAAAGGATTAATCTCAAAGTAGATTCTGAGCTTTGACATACCTACAGGACAAAGGTTGGCATCTGCGCTTGAAACAGTTTCACTCCAATGCTGTTCATTAGATACCCCAACTGTTAAAAACTACAGAAGCATGACATTGGCTAAATATCCTTGCTTTCTCAGCTCATGCGTTATCCTAGTTTCGTTTGTTCTTTTATCAAGAAAGTGGGCTGATGGATACAGTCATAGAGAAGGGATAGATAGAAACTGCCAGATAAATGTTTTCATTCTAATTAGTGACATAAAAGAATTGCAGACCATGCCATGCTAATCATTGTTATGAACTTCTTATTTAGGTTGAATTTGGTTGAAGCTTTTGTGGTGGATCCAGAACTACGTCAGTGCCTTCAAGAAGATCTCTTACGTCGCTTCCCAGATCTTAACCGACTGGCAAAGAAATTTCAGAGACAAGCAGCAAACTTACAGGACTGTTACCGAATGTATCAGGCTATTAATCAACTGCCTAATGTTGTACAAGCACTAGAAAAGCATGAAGGTAATGCTACCCCTGTCTATTTTCAATGTTTTATAATACATTGATGATGCAAAGAAATAGTGTGTAGATTTCCAAAGATTACTTTTTTCCTGCGTACTTTTGTTGCAGGCATAAAGCTTAAAGACATTTGAATTTGAAATGAGCTGAAATTCTGAAATGCCAATCAGATACTTAAAAATAAACATAGCCAAATCTTTACACAAAAAAGCATTCCAATTAGTGTGTAGCTGAAATGCTTGAACTGTTGGGTGATGGTCTGTGATCTTTGACGTCGACTTGTCTCTAAGAATTCTTGAGCAGTTGTGTGTGTATTATGATCTTACAAACAAGATACTGTTCATACAATATTGTTGTGTCCCTTTTGAAGACACTTTGCACTCTGGGTTGTAATTAAACAGAAAAAAACAGTTTAAGCGTTATCGGTATAATTTGAATGGCTTTTTTACTTCTTTTAAAATCGTAATGCTCCTGTATTTGATAAGAGTAACGTGGCAGGGTTTCTTCTGATCTTCAGTAGTAGGAAGCTCAATGCTATGACAAGCAAGTGTAGAAAATAAAGGTTGCTATTTCTTTTCCTTTTCTCTGTGTTACCAAGAAAATGCAGAATAAGATAGTGTCAGCATAACAGGGGGGTGATTCAATACAGCAATAGCGGTCCTAGCCTGTCAGAAAGCATATTTTGGTAGAAGCCCATTAATTTGTTTGAAAATCTCTTTGCATAAAGCAAGCCCCAAAGCCTTGAAGAGAAATAATTTTTGAAATGGTATGGTTACAAAAATTTCTTCCCTATATTTGAGTAGACAGTAATATTACCCAGTATCTTACACTTTTCTTTAGTTTTATGACTTCAAGTAATGAAACTTATCTTCTAAAATATTAATCTTAAAATAAATTAATTTTTGGTTGCTGGCTGTGTTATTTCCAAAAGCAGTTAAGATCTAAAACTGAGAAGGAACTGGCAGATACAACTTTTTTTTTTTTTTTTTTTTTTTTAAAAAAAAAAGAGCTGTGCCACACTTTAGCTGCCTCAGTCATGTCCCTTTGGCTTTTGCTTTTCCAGACAGACTTTGCTTGGTTTTGCCTTGGCATGGAGCTCTTGGATTTCCACCTTAAACTGAGGTATTAGTTCAAAATGCTCGCTTCCAGTCTTTACTTCTTTTTCTGTAGTTGTCATTCGAATCAACAGAGTTTCTCTATCATAACGTTGGGGTGGGAAAACAATTCCATTTTTACAAGTTTTGAGGAGCAAGCTGTGTAAGGCAAGCTGCTAAGCTCACCATATGGAAAAATTAATAGACTGCAAAAGGTTCTTACACGTGAATCAGTCGGCCTTAGGGCATTCATGAGCAGTATATCTAAGATAATTTAAAATAGGTGAAATGTGTTACTTTGGTTTTTCTTTGTACTTGTACACCCTTGTTTAAAGTACAAGAATGGCCTGGTAATTTTGAATGTATGTGACTGATTCAGACTGGATCTGATTGTTTTCCTGTTTAAGACTGTACAAAATCTCTTGACTCTTTTCAAGAGATGGAAAGTCAGAAAGATTTTTGACAATTCTGAGTATCTGCCAGTTTCAGAACTTACTTTTTTCGTGAATGGCTGTGGGGAGATAGAGCAACTACACCATGAAGTGATCAGCAGTGATTGCCTTTCTCTCAAAGGCAAGGGAGATGCTTGCTTTTATGGATGTTGAAAGCTGAGGAGAGGGAGTAATGAGTGAAGATTACTTTTTTATTTTTTAGACATAAGAAACCTGCATAAGACGGGAAAGGACTCTGAGTCATCAAATCGTTTTGCTCTTGCTGGCAAAAGGGAGCAGTTGTTCATTACTCAAACTGCTGGGGCATAAAATCTAGGTACTTATAAGTTGTCTGTCTTCAAGAAGCTTCTGAAGCATCTTCCTTCCCATCTCAGATTGATAGTCTTTATTTTAAGCCTGTAAATATGCAGGATACAGGATATGCTGCGTTCCAGGTGTATTTTTACCATGTCGTATACAGTGGCTTGAATGCCTCCTTTCTGCTTTTGGAAATACCTCTTATTGCATGTTCCAGTACTGTTCCATGATTGTTGCACTGGTGTGTTATAACCATGTGGTGATTGAACTTGGCTGTTTTCCCGCCCTTTGTCACTTCCAGCTGATTATTCCCCTACTCATAGTGGAAATTCGTTTATCTATCAATGTGTCATCTTACTCACTGTTAAATTTTATTTCATTTCTATTAGCCCAGTTTTCAAGGTCAGTTAGTTATGTTCCTGATTTATTTTGTTCCAATTTAATCTACTGGTATCTTCCACACTGTATATATTAGTGAATTTTATAAGCAGCCTTCTTTTGTGCATTAATATTATTAATTCACACATCTTAAAAAGATAAATGCTTGTATGAGACCTGGAGGAACTGTGTTGCTGATGTCCTTCCAGCTCATTCATCTTTTGCAAGTTGGTGTTGTCCTCTTTATCTGCCTTCTGATCATTGTATTAATCATGAATCTTGCAACTTAGCATCCCATGTGACACTGTACTGAATGCCTTAGAAGAGCCCAGGTTAGGTCTACAGATTTCCCTTCATCTTAGGCAGTCAGTTATCTTAGACAGATGTTGTGCTATACAGGTATGATCCGCCTCTAGTAAACCCGTACTGTATTTTATCCCAATTTCCATTTTGCTCTTTGTTCTTTCCTCACCATTTTTTCCAAGACCTTTTGTACCATCAAAATGGCTGGTTTAAGTGCATTTACTCATCGAGATTTGTCTGTTTTCCCTCGATAGAAATGTGTCAGTTTTCATACTTCTGTTTGCTACCAAACTAACTATGTAAATGTTTCAAGTTTGAAGATTAGTGCTTGATTTTACTTTCTATACAACGTTTTAAACCGTCTTAGTAGGAAAGTCTTTAATGCATGTAATAAACACTTACCTGTGCTTCAGTAAGTAAATTATGATTTAAATTAAACACTGTACCTGGGAGCAGATAGGCTTTGTGATCAATACGCATCTCTGCTTTTGACGGTACATAAGTCTATTATTCTTTCTCTCAATGGTTAGCTTACATGCTAATAGTGTTGAGTAGGTGCAAGAGGGGTTTTTTCCCATGCATCTTTTGTATGAGTTTATGAATGCAGGTGCAAGACAGGCTGGAATTTAATTTAGAATTTTTCAGTGGTGTTTCTTGCTCATATTCTCTTAATGCCAAGTGTTATGCTTTTAAGAAAAGCATACACATACAACTTTTATAAATCCTCAGTATTCAGTGACTCCACTATTTTACTTCAAGTGGTGGACACTGAATATGAAGTTGGATTGAAAGTGTAAATCAGTTTTGCAATGTATCAGTTTGAACCATATCATAAATATATGTAAATACTTTAGTATTTTATTTACTTCATAATTAATATTTTCTAATTTTTGAATGTGACATCTTCCTATGGTGACTGAAGATGTTCTCTTCAAACTTAAATAATGAAATGGTGTTACGAAACTCTTTCTTACTCCTTTCCAGAAAAGAAAGTGTAATGCTGCTTTTAACTCAAGCACAATCATTTTTCATTAGTTCAAGAATACTGAAGATCATTTCATTGTGTGTGCCGTGCACTGTCAGCTGGTGCACTGGGAACTGCTAAGTCCACTCTGAAGAATGGACGAGAAACTTCTTTTCTGCTCTTCAGTCTCTTCCTTCTTTACTGCCTCCTTTTATTTTTAGGTTAGTTTAGATGTGTCTTCTTACAGGAGGGAAAAAGACAGAAAGCAAGCAAGAGCTTTGGAATAAAAAGCAAGCTGTACTTTATTTCAGATCTCTCTTAGTTTTGAAGATTTTTAGTCAGGAGAAGACTCCATTTTTACAAGTTCAATAATCTCTCAACAGCAAGGTTTTTTCACTGTTAATAGATACTAATCAGTTAAGAGCTTTAACACGAAAAGCTTGGGGGAGTGCAGAAGCAAAAAGGCACAGGAGGAAAAGGAAACAAACCAACCTTTTTCTTTCTACTTGAGTTACAGTGTGGAGAGAATAGAATTCCCTTGGGTAATCATGTCCTGACTGTGTGACTTTTATAAATTTGTACGGAAATTTTTCTTAGGAAAGATTAGGACTTTGTCCCTAGTCTGGTAAGAAATCGTGAGGCTCTGGAATAGCCAGAGCTTAATTCTGTGTTTCTCTGTTAATGTGCAAAGCCTTGCCTGTAAACATCAGAGGCAAATATTGTAATTCTGTACATAATCCAACAACTATAAGATCATAGTATTGGATTCTTTCTGAGGCATTTTGTGTAAATCATGTAGTCAATAATGCTAATCTTTCTGTGATTAAATCATAACTTGAAGTGGCTGCAAAGATGTAAACATTCATTTACTGACAGAGTGTTTTCACAGCTGGCTGCTGGATAGGTGCTTATTCATAGGTGAATAAGCACCTATGAATAAGGTGCCTGAAGAAAATACTTCTTTCACAAAATTGGCAGTATCTGTGCATGCCAAATTAACTGTGAACTGCGTTTTGCATTCGATGCTTACAGTGTTCTATGGACTTCAACCAATATGTGTGCTATGCAGTTATACTTGGTGCTACAGAGTATCTGTGCTAACAAAATATGTTGGAGAAGACTAATGTAATTTTGGCGACTTCCTGATTAAGTGGAAAGACCAGTGACTACAAAGATCTGGTTAGAGTAGATGGTCTTTTTTTAAGGAAAACAAAACCAAAAACCATACACCTCAATTTCTATTTATGTCCATATTGTAACCTACCAAATATACCCAATTTTTTGTAATTTTGAATTAAGAAAAATTAAAAACTCTGAATGTGGATGATGACACTTCCACTTTTTATACTTTTTACTAAAGCCATTTCAACTTTTTATGTGTGAGAAGAGGTAATGTTCAGATAGCAGGTTTGCTTTCAAACTGTTGTTTGTCTGCAGTTTTACTCATAGTAGAAGGGAATTAATACCACCAGATAGGAACAAAGATGACAGAATAGGTCAGGCTTTATCAGAATATAAATTGGATAATGCTAATTTTAGAGAAAGATATGCACGTGTCAGTGAAATAATCATAACCAATCTTAATAAAAATTAACCAGCTATATAGTTGTGCTGTTTATCTTGGATAACTGAATTCTGGTAAAGTTGTGGGGGTTTGTGAATGATAATTTTTCTTGTTTGTTCTTAACAGGAGCTCACCAGATGTTGTTGTTGGCAGTGTTTATAACACCTCTTAATGATATCTACTCTGACTTCTCAAAGTTTCTGGAGATGATAGAAACAACATTGGACATGGATAAGGTATGGGCTGGTGTGTGGGAGGGGGTTTACTTATTGAACTTTGCAATCTGCTCTACACTAAATTTAATTGATCATCTATATTAAGTAGTTAGTGATAGTTCAGCCGTGGAATATATGAAGACTGTTATTAGTATAGCAGTTGCATATCAAGAGGATATTCACCCACTAGCTGAAATTATCTAGCCAATGAAAAAATGCTTTGAGTACATGGATGCTGTGGATCTGAAACTATTTTTTAAAAACCTCATCATCATTTTGTCACTTTTCTGCTTCTTCATATTTTCAAAGTTACTGTGATATGTCTCAAATCTAGAATGTAGCCAGAGTATGTTTTACATACTTCTCTGCTTCTATAAAGTTCATTAGACTTGGTTGTATTTAGTGGGATTAAGTCTTCATAACTAAGTTTGCCTCTTTGAAAAATGATTGATCTAGGTATAAAGACATACTTTACTTTCCAGTGTAAAGACATTTCTCACTAGAGAGAAAACTGCTACAATTATCTTAGCCTTGCATCTACACTTGCTTATAAAATATTACTGATGATAGGACTATGCTTACAAGGGACAACTGGCATTTTTTTCAGAGGAAAAATTGGCCAAACAAAGCTGAAAGGAACATTCCTGTTCCTTAAACCTGTAGCGGAAAGGAGAAGGGATGAGTATAAATGACTGATTTATCGTTGTTTAACATTGAACACTAGGGGACAGGCAAAAACATGAACCGTTGCTTAACTGGGTGAAACAATGCTAATGTTTTTAGTGAATTTTGTACATCATTTTTTCCCATGTGTTGGGTCTGGCTGAGATAGAGTTCATTTTCCCCATGGCAGCCCTCATAGTGCTGTGCTTTGTATTGGTAGCTAGAAAGGTGGTGTTACTGGCTGAGCAGTGCTGGCACAGCATCAAGGCTGTCTCTCCAACATTTCCCCCCCTCCCCGGTAGCTGAGGGTGGGCAAGATCTTGGGAGGGGACATAGCCAGAACAGCTGACCCAAACTGACCAAAGGGATATCCATACCATATGATGTCTGCTCAGCAATAAAAGCTAAGAGAAAGGAGGAGGAAGTGGGGGCATTCATTATTTACGACATTTGTCTCTTCGAGCAACCGCTGTGTGTACTGAAGCCCTGCTTGCCGGGAAGTGGCTGGACATCGCCTGCTGATGGGAAGTGGAGAATAAATCTTTTGTTTTCCTTTGCTTCCACGTATGGCCTTTGCTTTTGCTTTATTAAACTGCCTTTATCTTGACCCATGAGATTTTTTTCTTTTTTTTCGATCTTACTTTCTCTGCCCAGTCGTGCTGAGGAGGGGAGTGATAGAGCAGCTTGGTGGCACCTGGTGTCCAGCCAAGGTCAACCCGCCACATCCCATTATATTTGTTCGAGAATTGGTGAGGTGCATTTTGAAATGCCCATGCTTGGTTAGAAATGTATTTAATGTTCCTTTCTCAATAAGATGTTTCAGTCATTTTGGAAAACTTGGGAGGCTTTTAGGATTGTCATAAGTGTCAGTCTCAGCTGACTGTAGAAATATGAGATCTACCTAACCATGTGCTAGGCACGGTAGTGAGGGCAAGGTGTTGAACTTTTGAAAACTGCAATGGCTTTAAAATTTTGAACTTGCATATTTTTCTCCAAATGCAGAAGCACCGCTTTTTATTTCTTGGTATTGTGTATGCATTCATCAACTGCGTTTTACTGTTTAAGGAAAGACTGTTTGATTGACATGTTGCTGTAATTTATGATATATGCTAATGAAGAAATTTATAGCTTTGTACTAGTTACAGACCATCTGTTGATGCAGTTTGTATGCCCTGGGACTCTGGTTTCTTTAAAACTAACAGCTGTTCTAAGCCTTCACCCTTCATAGTCCAGCTCTTCAAATTTCTTTTCAGCTTCTACTTTAAAAATGTTTTGTTGTCCTTCTAAACAGAATAACAAGTCAGTTATTTTTAATCAAGTCCCACAGAATCCGCTCTGTTGGATTTGGTTTTTTTTCCCCTTCAAGATACTGGAAAATGGCTATAGATAAGCCAACACTGGCTTTACCAGAAGAATAAGCCTTGTCTGTCTGAGTGTTAAAACTTGAACTTTGACTTGAAATTCCTCTTAGATTTTTAGGGAGTTCAAACAAAATACCCAGCTCTATTCTGAGTGTGATTGAAGGACAGGTTGTCATAGCAACTAAATTATGTCAATAATCCATTCTAATATAAAAAGAACCATCTGAGTTCAAAAAGTGTGGGATGTGGTTATTCATTTACCTAGCTGTAATAAAAGTTGAGAAACTGTCACTTCCATTCCTGTCTTCCACGGAATCATAAGGGGCCTTCAAAAAACCACGTACTACAACCTCCCCCTCTAGTCAGGGCAACTTTAAAGTTTGTTAGCACTTTTGGAATATAGTGTTTTGGTTTGAGTATTAAGAGCACAGCCCTTTACAGAAGGACTTGTTTTTCAGATTAGCTAGCTAGCTCAACATAGTCCCGCAGTCTGCAAATTATTTGCTGTCACCTCATTCATTTGAGCACCCCTTGGAAATGTGATGCACTTGGGTCTTACTTCATGTAAGTAAACATATGCAGGTATGAAAATGTTGTCAGTGCTGTGATGTTAGTCTGCTACATTGAGTATTTTATACTTTGAACATTCATTTCAGAGCTCTGAGCAAAAACTTACGCTAAAAAAGTGCAGTGTGTTTAGTAGAACAAAAGGGAATGTCTAGTTGCTGCTTATCCATATCGCGTTAAGGGATTTGCTTTCATTATAACCCTTCACGTGACTCTTGCCAGTAAAAGGTTATATATAGAGTGCAGGTGGCAGCAAGAGTGTTCAGACCAGTCTGTGGTGTGTCTGTTGCGTTCCTTAATCTCTGAAGCAAACTTAACATTTGTATTTAATGCAGTACTGAGTTGTAATTTAGACTTAAGTGCATTTCAGCGATCAATATGTCGGTGAAATGTCACAATGATGAGTATTTTTATTCTTCTTTTGGGGAGATGAGAGGGGAGTGAATTGAGTTCACTGGTATTTCCTTCCATTTTTCTGGTGAGGTGTAGCCTTGCTGGACCATAACTGGTGGTAGATTCATTAGGTACAGAGCACCAAGAACTCAAATACCACATTCCTGTTAATGCTTGTCCTGCCAGATTGTTGGCCAAGTTCACACTGAGGGCTGTGGAAGAGGAAAAAAAGCAAAAGTTTTCTTTAAGTGACTTACCTAATTGTATCTAAGATTGTATCTGCTGTAGGAGGAGCACAGCTTGGGAAGAACGTTAGAGGGTAATATAGTTGTGGGTGCCTGATGTTTTTATATATTAATTAGAAGCACACGTTTTTAGTAAACCATAATCATTTTGCTTCCTTAGCAGTTTAGCTGAACTTTTAATTTAATTTTAAAATGTTTTCTATTCACTTGATCGCACTTGGCTTTCACTTGGAGAGTGTGGTCAGATGGAGCGGTTCTGTTTGTCACCTTGCTGTGGGTTACTTCATGAGGCCTGAGTGAGGGAGGAGCTGTCCTATAATAGTTGGGGTGGGTAATGCTGTCTTCAAACCTGGATCTTGCACATTTTTAAACTCAGATTTTCAGGCTGAGGTAATGGGATATAGGCTGCTAGATGTCCTAAAGATTTGGTGTCTACCCCTGGAAAAGCCACCGGGCACTTACCCTGGGGCTGGAGTGCCTGATCTGCTGCGAACCGGTTCTTGAACTGCTGCAGTCCCTAACCCAGGCTATTGATGTAAATGGAAACTGAAGTAATTTTACTTTAATGCTCCTGTCCCAAAACTTCACAGCAGTTTAGGATTTATTTCCTGCACACTAGCAGTCTCTGGGTTCATTTGACATCACAGGTCTCTTGGAGCTGTAACGGAGTTGGCAACAAGCACCTGAAAACTAACTCCATGCCCATGACTGCTGGACTGAGCGGTGGGTAAGGCAGTACCATAGCCTTTTTGCGCATGATAAGCTCTAGCGACATATGGATCTTTGCTTGCAGTGAAATGAAAGCTTGCCTGCAGCGAGGAGGCCCTGAAGGGTGGAAGTGCAGGGCGCGGCTTTGGTTCTGGTCAGCCTCTCTGACATGGCAGCCTGGGTGAAGGCTGGAACCGACAGCCAGACCGGGTGCCCTGCTGGGGCTGCCGGAGCTTTATGGGCCCTTGGGAATGTTACCTTCCTTCTCCTGAGGTTATGGGATTTCTGCAGTTTATTCCAGGCTTCAAATAGTTCTTTGAAGCTGTGAAACAAAATAACTTTTCAGTTGACTGTCAACCTTGGTTGTCTCAGGAAGCCAGCCATGACAGGGGCTGGCGTGCGTGGCGTTTGCATCCCAGCCTTTTCCAGTTTCTGTTTCAGATCCAGGATCTGCCCTACAAAACCAGGAATGGTCTTTTCTGCTGTATGCTCTGTCATAAACATTCATTGCTGTTCTTTTAGCAGAATTATTAAGGGATGGGAGGGGCAGGCCTATCAACAGGGATGTAACAGGGAATGAATTTGTTCATACCCCTTTCTTAACGCCTCCAAGTTTCAAGATAGTCCTCTAAAATCTCATAATCCGTTATTTTGTGGTGTCCACATCTCTGGATAAGCAACTGGAGAACTTTGCCACTGCAGTGTATTTGCACACCATACAACTGGAACCAAAATGGCAGGCTGAGAGTAATGCCTTGCAGTGCTGGTAATTGCACAGAGAAAATAAGCAGCAACGCTTCAGTTTTCCATCGTGCAACTTCTATGGAAGATCAAATTATCTGTTGGGAGAAGGTCATTCTCAGAATAAAGTAGCAATGCTTTGAATATACAGTATGCTATGCGGTTTCTTCATATGATAATTTACTTGTCCCCCCCCATTCCAAATTCAAAATGTATAAGCCCTGTGGCTTTCATCTCCAGATTGCATTCCCAGGTCTTTGTTCCAAGTTGCTGCAAAACCTCGGAGTCTTCAGTCTAATGCTTTTACAATTTTTTTGATGCACTGCAGATTTGAAATGCTTCTTGTGCTTAGTAGAACAAGATGTATGTGGTGGTTCTTCCAGTTATAGTTCCTGTTGCTCAGTGCTTTCTGGAGTGATAGTTTTATTGTCTAGGAAGGAATAAAGGAACTGTGGTCCTCATTTTCCTCTTCTCCTTCCTCCTCTTGCTAACGTATACTTGTGGGTAAAAGTGAAGTTGCATGTAAAGCACCATCTAGTTTCGGTGTGTGTTGCAAAGTATTAGCAGCTGCTTTGTGTACAACTTTGCAGATAATTCCCAGTTAGGGGAAGCTCCATGAAAGTGTTGTTTTGGTTTGGTTTTTTTAACTTAATTAGACTAAATATATTACTAATATGAAAGCCAGTGCTTAGTTTCCACATTGGACAACAGTGCTAATATTTTGTTGATTGTAAAAGTTTGTATATTAAAAATCGAATTTCTTCTATTTAGCAGTTACAAGTTGTGCTTGCGAATTAAACTTGGGGCTTGTAAGGTCATCAGAAACACAGACCTGGCAGTGGAAGCATGGGGAAGAGAGAAGATGAAATACAACTTACTTCATCTGTGCCTCTGAAAATGTTTAGCTTGGAAGGAAATGTGTATACTTTCAACTCAAAATAACTGAGTTGAAATTGGGTAGTATTTTTGGTGATATTATGTTGGCTCCTTCTGTAACCTCTTGAGTGTGTTTTGGGCAGGAATTACTGTTTCAGAAACTTCTATTTCCAAAGACTTCTTGTTTTGAAATGCCCCATCCTTTTACGCTCTGTCTTGATTAGCTGCGTAAGTCCACGCTAGCATACAGATTATGTACATAACAATTTCATTTCCTCTGACTTCCCTTTTTTCCTGCCTACTGCTCAGTTATTTGTATGCAAATAAATGTGCAGATGACTCCATTTCAAAGTAGAGGAGTCTGTTAAATTGGTATATTTTGCTTGTATAAAGTATATTATTTGAGAAAACAAGTGTTTGAGGTATACTTGTTTCGTAGTTGAATCAGACACCAATTATCACAAACAGCATTGCGTTACAAAATTATATATATATAAAAAATAAATTGATGATTAAGTAAATTCATTTCACTGTGTATGATCAGGGAGGTGATTCTTTTTTTTTTTTTTACTGCCTATATCCATATGAATTTTTTCTTATTATTTTTCCCTAGGTGGAGAATCATGAATTTCTTGTCAAGGCTTCTTTTGATCCTAATTTGACAGAATTAAGAGAGAAGATGAATGAACTGGAAGAAAAAATGCAGTCCTTTTTAAAGAGCGCAGCCAAAGAACTAGGTAGGGTATGAAACTGCTTTTGATTCTTACCTCCTTTGTAAAATGTTTTGAGATCAAGTGATGAAAACTGGTATGGAGGAGTTAAGGAGTTTGTATTATTTTATTACTAGCTTTGGGTGACTATAGTTGTCACAGTACAATCTGTTGAAAATGGAGTGATTTTTGGTTTATAACTTGGCCTTTTGTTTTTTTTAAGGATGGCATTCCAGAATGTTTCAGAAATTATTATGTATGTTGCAAGATACTGCAGAATTCATTTTGTAGAACTATAACTCATATAACTCTTGGCTGAGCCTAGTTCTATTTTACATCCTTTGTGGATATGCATTGAAACTGCTTCCCCTGCCCTCCCCCCCCGTCCCCGCATTCTCCTGAGTGTCCATTCAGGACATGCTAGTTTTCTTTTGAAGTTATTTGCAAAATGTAATGTGTAAGCAAATGAGACATTTAAATTATTGATTATCCTATGCAAAAAATTCCATGTGCAGCTGATGAATTGGGCATTCAAAGAGCAACTTAAAAAAAATCATTTTTTAATGCAAATATGGCAAGGAAAACTGACAACACCATAGTTATTTTAGGTTACACCTTTAAGGACTTGCATATTTTTTAGTCTGGATTTTTTTTTAGTGTAAACAAGATACCTGGATGAAAAGAAGGAAAGACAAGATTGTGTAGGGATGGAATGAGAAATCTCACCAGCCGAAGTATGCGTTGGTAAAAGGATCACAAGACTACAGGTGCTGTGCTTACAGCAGCAATATAGAATGTCCTTGCAGTGTGCTATGAACTTTTTTCACATTTCTGGAGAATATGTAGCAATACAATAATTGTGAACCTGACTTGAATACGCAGTTTGAGAGCACAACAAAGTAAGAGCAGAGAATGAATCAGTAAACTTCTGTTAGGTCTGGGTATTTCTCATACCTGTACGGAACCAAAGCAAGTATACTGAATAGTGTATCTAAGGGAGGCTACATCATACAAACTGGGGATTAGTGAGCAGAAATAGCACAGGCTGCAGGATTTTTGATAATACAGTTGTTTTCTTTTTTTTTCTTTTCATGTAAAAGGTTTGGAAGCTGGGAAAAGTATCAAACTGGAGACAAATTCGCAGTTTGGACATCACTTCCGAATAACTTGCAAGGAGGAAAAAGTTCTCCGTAACAATTCAAGATATGGAATAGTTGATACACAGAAGAATGGTGTGAAATTTACTAACAGGTATGAGATCATCTTGGTAGTTTTTCAAGCCTGTTGTGAAAGAAACAAAATTGTTCCTTTCTTTATAATTATGCCGATAAACTGTTTTTTACATCTTGAACAGCTGAATTTTCACCTTTTTAATTGGCTCACAGATTGAGATATTGAGCAAGACTGGCATAAGGGAGGAGTAGTCATACAGTTTCTGTTAAAAGCTGCATTCCCCATTTACTTTGCCAACTGTTAGCTATTTTTGGTCCTTTGACTTGGGCTAATTTCTCTGTTTTAGCTGCAGCTAGTAGCGTAATTGCATTCACTGTGAGTGTTTATACAGACACTTTCACAAGCTGCAATAGGAAAAGAGCTATTTATCATCACCAAATATGACATGCAGCAGTTTTGTTGATTACCTTTTCTGTGTTCCAAATCACGCTGTAATTTCCGTCGGTCCTATGTATTGGACTTCGCTTCTATGGCTCTATAGATTAAGCTATTTAAAAATTTCAGTCTCCAAGCTAATTGCATTGATGCTGTTTCAGTGTCTCCTTGTCTGGACAGCAGTTCTGTCACAGGTCAGCGAAGCAAAAAGTCTATACTTTTTGTTGAATTTTTAGCTCTTCTAGAGCATTTTAGAAGGAGCAAGGGCTACCTCGTCATCAGGTGTCTCTCTTTCTATACTTCATTTATTTTTACACAGAGCGAACAAAGTAGAAAGTTGCATATGCAGAATCAAGTAATGCTTAGGTTGAAGGCGATCTCTTGAGGTTAACTGGCCTAACTCCCCACTCAAAGCAGAGCCACCTTGGAAATTAGATCCTATCTCAAAGTTAGATGAGATAGCTCAAGGCCTTCCCCAGGGGCCCATCCTCCAAGCATCCTTCAGAACACTTGTGGTGGAGCACAAGTTCCAGTGCTGAACCACTCTTTGTGAAAACTTTCCTAATGAGATCTAATGAGAATTTTCGTTGCAGAAGCTTGGGTTTTTAGTATCTTATTCTTTTGCTGTGCACCTCCAAGAAGAGTCTGGTGCCTCTCCTCTCCAGGCTGACTTCAGATTCTCTCAGCCTGGGCAGGCATCTCTCTAAGCCTCTCCTTGTATGCCATGTGCTCCAGCTCCAAATCTTTGTGCTGGCCATCTGCTCCAGGTTCGGTGTCTCTCTTACACGGGAGACAGCACCACAGATGTGGTCTCACGAGTGCTGAACAGAGGGGAAGAATCACTTCCTTCGACCTGCTGGCTACATCTTGCTAGTGCAGCCAATATGGGCTTGGCCTTCTCTGCCTCAGGGGCACACTGCTGGCTCGTGTTCAGCTTCTTGTCCACTGGGTCCCTCAACTCTTTCATGAATAGCTGTTTTACAGCCATTTGGACCCTAGTCTGTACTGTTGCATGGAGTTACTTCATCCCAGGTGCAGGACTTTGCATTTGCCTGTGTTGAAATTCTTGTCCACTTATTTCTCTAGTCTGTAGATAATGCAATGAATGGCAGCCCTGTCCTCCAGTGTACTGACAGCTCCCCTTAATGTGGTGGTGTTCACAACCTTGCTGAGAGTACCTTTGAGAGTGCACTCAGTCCCGTCATTCAGGTTGTTAATAAAGGCATAAATAGTATCTGCCCTAAGAAATGCTGCTAATAATCAGCCACTAACTGGATTTCAGCTTCCTGACGAGTTCCTCCTTGTCTGTCAGTGGCAGGTCCAGGAGAAAACTAGTCTTTAAGTCACCTGCTTGTGTTATATATGGAAGGGTAAGAATAGCAGAGATTAATACATCATACAGTCTGTTTCAGACAAACCATGCTGCTATCACTTTATGTGTAACAGTTCCTGTTGGAGTTAGCATCAGAGAATTGAGTTTATTGACAGAGATCTTGATTGACAGATACGTATGAGGAGCACTGCCTACAGGGCAAGGTTGGTTTCAAGCCAGTGCTATTACTGATAGTGACTGTTTCTGGTAATTGCTCACTTTCATAGTAATAAATCCTTTGCTTTGAAAAGGAGGGCAAAGGAGGGTTGGTTCACACCAACCAATATGTTGATGTATTTTGCACCAATTTACTTAGGTGAACAAAGTGTAAACCTTAATTGCATTTTGGTTTAACATTTACTCAGAGGATATTTTTTCAAAACATCCCTGAAATTTAAAACAGCTTTTTTTGGTTCTAAAAGTGTTATGAATCTAAACGTAATGATGAAATTAGGCTTTTCTGTAACTGAGAAGATGGTACTTAGAACCTCTACAGTAAGTGTTATCTGCTAGTTTACCTTGGGGAAGAAGCCCGTGGATCACTAATAAAACAGACTTCTCTGTGCTTAGTTAAGTTATAGTTGCTTCTGTAGATCGTACTCGAAGCACAAGGCTAACTTCTGCTTATAGTGTGGGTGCACTACTTGGGTGTGTTTCATATTCAGTCCTGCACACTCTGCTCCATGTTTGGAGACAAGCTTGAGAAGAATAAACACTTGTTTAAACTCTCTCTGGATTTCAACTTACCTTATTTTGAAGCCTAGAACCTGTTCTTACTGACAGTAGTTCACTGAGGTTTTTACTAAATGAAAGTCAATGCCTTCAGCTCTGATAAGCCTGTTGTAGGATTCTGGGCTAATTACACAGTTGCTTAGCAGCAATTCTCCTCTGCCAGTTCTATAACGTGCCACATCTTGTTGCAAAATAGCCAGAAATTCAGCTTTAAGAGCAAGTCCTTATCACATAGCATGTCTGTAACAAACCACCACTAAGATTTTTAACAATGATGTGTTCAGAGATGCTAGAATTCCTGGTTTGGCCCTTATGGGTGATCTTCAACGTGGAATTAATCTTACTGATACCCTGGTGTGGATGAATTGTAGATTAGTTGCTTTGTGCTGAACCTTGCTGTTAAAACAGGTGGGGACAACTGGTATTGACTCATAGATGAGGAGGCCAGAAGTTTGGCATGGTAGCAGTGAAGACAGAACATTACAGCTTCTAAATATTGTGGTTTTGTTCACAGCAAACTGAGCTCCGTCAATGACGAATATATAAAGAACAGAGAAGAGTATGAAGAGGCTCAGGATGCGATTGTTAAGGAAATCATTAACATTGCTTCAGGTGAATATGTCAATGTTGATGCGTATCACAGTCTGGAATGCTGGAAGGACTTGCAGTTACTTTGTAGGTCCTTCTATTGAGAAGAACCCGTAACATTCCTCAAAGAACTAGTGTGAAAAATGAGATTTGGCTTTTGGACAGTTGTTGAAAGTTTGAAATATATTGTCTTCTATGGTCAGACCCTTTCCTGGCATTGCTACAAATGTGCAGTGATGGGGTGTGTGCAAATGCTGATCCTGTAAAAAGAAAAAGAAAATTCACATAAAGGCCACGTCTATCATCCACCTACCTCCCTGGCTCTGGGCATCTCCACCCAAATGGCAGACTAAGTAGAAGCCGGAAGAGGTAAAGGACAACAGAGAACTGAGGGAGTGGGACCTGAGGTCTGTGAAGGATGATGAAGAAAGAACGTTGGTATGCAATATAAGACCAAGTTAGTCATCGCTTATATGGTACAACAAAAAATTATTGTTTTCCTAATTAATTTCCATATGTTTTTGCTCCAAGATTGCCTACTTACAGGGCATTCTTTACTGTCCTTCGCTAAAAGAAGAGGAGACATGGAGGTATTTGGGCTGGAGGATTCTGTAAATGTTGCCTCTCCCAAAGGCACTAGATCCAGCAGGACAAATCTTAGCTCTTTGAAAGAGAAGTGGAAGGTGAAAGCACTAATGAATATTAAGCTAAGGGTAAATGTAGTAAAGATAAAAAAACACTTTTTAAGCTGATACATTAATATATGTGAGCGTGTATTAAGTTGCGGTGGAAATCTTCATAAGCTTTGACCTGTTGCCATGATAAGGAATTTGCCAGTATATTGCAAAATCAGTAGCTTGTTAGATTTTTTTGTTTTTTTGGTATTTTGGTAGTTTTCAAGTGGTGGTCTTTTGTGTGTAGCATGCTAAGGTTTGTATATTTATGTGGAAAGCTAATTGGGTATTATATAGTGGGATTAGCTTCAATATGTCATCTATAAATATCTAGTATGTTTAATAAAGTCTTTTGCTGCTGCTTAAAGCTTCTGTGGTGTGCAGTCATAGACTTACAAGTGTATATGTGTATTTAAAAAGCATTTTTCTTCCCCAAGTGGAGCAATTTAATGAAAAAGACTGAATTATGTGTGTAATTCTTGAAAGAAAGTGACTTAAAGTCCTCTTAATGATCTATACCTAGCCAATTCAAGGGATGATGTTAGAACAGTAAATGCACTTTGTACAGGTAGGACTCTTTCTGCAGGTCACTGCTCACCTCTTCTGACACATGCATCCCATTTGCTGGTGTTAGATGGTTTACCTATGTAGACTCCTTTCCCTCGTGCCTTTCACTGAAAAAACTGAACACCGAAACTTAAAAACTGGTACTGTGGTTGCTGGTCCATCTAGTCTAGATGTCTGGTATCACAAGCACTGTATCTTACAGACCTCTCCATACCATCATTCACGTAAACATAAATGGTTGCTGTGTCTGAATTGTCAGTGCTGTGTCTCTTGTCTTTGTTTGCATGAGTGTCGACATTCAGTGTACTACTGAGGAAGGGAACTTACTGGATTTCCAGCCATCTTGCCATTGTGAGCGTTTGCCTTCCCATACTAAGATAAGCTGTTTCTCGTTGTCTGGTGTTAAGGCAAAATAATCCACATGGCCTCACCTCTTCCTTTTCTTAATCTGAAGAGGTCCCCTTTGTAGTCAAAGCATGGAAACTTTAGGATTACATCTTAGACTCTCACAGAAGGTGACTGCTATCTTGAACAAAATCTACTTGTAATGCAGATGAATTAATTTTATGGGCTCGATATAGGCCTTAAAATATCTTTTCAGCAAGAACAAAATAATTTCTAACTGTGTTGAATTTGTGCATCTCTCTAATCAAAAACAGGTTATGCAGAACCGATACAGACGATGAATGATGTGATAGCTCAATTAGATGCAATTGTCAGTTTTGCTCATGTGTCAAACGGAGCACCAGTGCCGTATGTCCGTCCTGTCATTCTGGAAAAGGGACAAGGAAGGATTGTGCTGAAAGGTGCCAGGCATCCTTGCATCGAAGTGCAAGATGAGGTGGCCTTCATCCCCAATGACATTACATTTGAGAAGGGCAAGCAGATGTTCCACATTATTACTGGTAAATGTTTCTGTTCTCTTTTTCATTTGTTATTTATGTTTTAAATGTCTGGAGTATTTCCAGTAATGTTGTCTTTAAAAAAACAAACCAACAACAAGCAAACAAACCAACAACCCAGTAAAACTCTGTCAAAACAATTTCTCTAATCAACAAAGTGTGAGCAGCTAGCCAGTTATTCATCTTTCTGTATAGCTCTGGAAAAGAAGGGAGGGTATTTGTAAGCTATTGTTTACTGTACTAAGAAAGTGAAGTGTCCACAATGTTCTTGTGAAATATTTCCTATGATAGTGGATATTCTACATGTTTATGCATATACAGACATATTTCTCATCTTCCAAACTAGTAGTCATGAAATTAGTTGTTGTGATTATAGTTATAGTGCACTGTTTGGAGAAGGTGATCACTGATTTAGAAATAGTCATTTGGGAAGGAGAGAGAGGCTGCTAGGCCAGTAGGAAATAAGAAATTAGTCCTTCCTTAATGCGTGTATTCTTTGCCTTAGTGAATGTAATTCCACAAGCCAGGAAACCTCAGGAGCTGGAGAACCTGAACCTGCTTAGGTGATTCCACTAGGCATCAATTGTACTGTAGCCATGTAGGCACCTTCTGTAGGCAAGATTTTAAGCAGCCTCTTTGTTAATGTTTTCTTTGTTTAGTATTAAAGTCAATTTTAAATGCAAAACATGTTTCTAACTGTACCCTTTTTTCCCCTGTTCTCTGGTGTAATTAAGATAATTTTACTACACAGGAAAACATTTTTAGTGTTTATACATTTAATTGAATTTTAATTTCCATCCAGATGTCCTTGACATACATTCTGAGTAGCAAAGATCTGAAATTAGAGAATGATTAAGGAACACTTCTAGCATAATCAAAAAGAAAAACTAAAAATCTGAATAAATGCATGGTAACACGCTTGTTTTTCTAGTTAGCAAAAGTGTAAAATTGTTTTTAATGATCAGTTTTCTGGAAAATACTTTTTATTTTGTTTGTACTTCAGTTAATTTTAACTTATTAATGTCTGGTTTTGCTGATTCAGAATCCCTTTAGATTGTAATTTAAACCACCCGTTAGTTTGTACCCGGTCTGTAACTAAGCTATTGCATTTTTACAGACAAATTGTAATTGTTGTTTGAGGTGAAAACAAATTATTTTCATTCTTAAGCAGCGATACTGATGACTTTTAAATTAAAGCTTATTAGTTTTAGGTATGGACATGTGTTTTAGATGACTGCTTATACTTCTGAGAAGTCCCAAAACTTATGAAGGCCCCTAACACTCTCCGATCACCTTTATCTTGAAAAAGCAGCATTCAGTAAGACATACAAGCAAGCCTTATTAGCAGTGGAGCTACTTGTTGCACCTGTTAGACAAGTCTGCTACTCTTTTCTGGCAAGAGAGTAGTAAGTTTAAATGTTCTTTGTTTTGATTTAGAACATTTTCTCCTTTAAAAGAACTGTTGAATTGTAAAAGATGATGGCTTTTTAATTCTCTTGCAAAATTTCTTCTTTAGGCCCTAACATGGGGGGAAAATCAACCTACATCCGACAGACAGGGGTGATTGTTCTTATGGCCCAAATTGGGTGTTTTGTACCATGCGACTCTGCAGAAATAACCATTGTGGATTGTATCCTGGCTCGGGTGGGAGCTGGAGACAGTCAGCTGAAAGGTGTGTCTACTTTCATGGCTGAAATGTTAGAAACTGCTTCAATCCTTAGGTAAGTCCTGTGCTTATTTGATTTTGTTGGTTGGGGTTGATGGGAAAGGAGGTACTCTAAGAAAGATGCATTTAAGATTTCCTTTTATGTAGGATTCAGTGGAGGATCTCAAGCCCTTTCTAGCAGGCTCATAATTTCTTGAAGTAGCCTTCTGTTTATTTCGGTGGTCATATAGAGATCATAGGAGGCCAAAGTCTAAATGGGACAAAGAAACTAATTTGGAATGATCTGTGTGACATTGTGTGTGCACTTTATTTGTATGTGGTTATGTAAATAGGAAAGGTCTTTTGCCTCTTTTATGCTATGCTCTTGCCTCTACAACATAACTTGTGGTACTCCAATATCCAGAGTTCATGCTGTTCTCAAATGTTATAAAATGCTCTTGTGTTTTTAGGACAGCATCTGAAAACTCCCTGATAATCATTGATGAGCTGGGAAGAGGAACTTCTACCTACGATGGCTTTGGCTTAGCATGGGCGATTTCAGAATACATTGCTAGCAAAATCTGTGCTTTCTGTATGTTTGCTACACATTTTCATGAACTGACAGCTCTTGCTGATCAAGTGCCAACAGTAAATAACCTACATGTTACCGCTCTGACCAGCGATGACACACTGACGATGCTTTATCGTGTCAAGGAAGGTAAGACTGTGTAAACGGTAACAGGGTAAACTTTATTTCGCCCTGAGAGAGGAAGAAATCTTAATGGAAAAAAACATTAAAAAAATTTCATGTCATACTCCAAGCTTAGGGTTTGTGATAGACATGTTTTTCTCTGTCCATAGAGAGTGTGTATGGCAGGAGCTCTGTCCATGTGTCAACACAGTTGGTGATGTTGATGATGATTATTTGTTAAGACTTCTAGGTTATATCTGCCACTCAAGTCGATACTTTGAGGTCGGTCCCTTTTTGTTTTTTAAAGAGTAGAGAGAGAGGTTCCAAAAGGTTATTTTCTATTTTCCTTAATCAACCATTTGAACCTGCTGATAGAAAGGACTTCTGTTCCTTAAACTGTTCTTTTAAAAGAATGAGTGCAACTTTTATGTGCTGACAGTTTTTAATAATGTCTGTTTCATTGTAATAAGGCTTAGTTGTTGAAGAAAGATGTTGCCCAATTTATGCAGTAGTTTGATATAGGAAAAATTGTATGTTTAGTTTTTAGCAAATGACATCATAATAAAACAACAAATAGCCTGTTTGTTAGTGTAAGATAAGTCAGAGTATTTAATTAAAATCCTTTAGTGGATCCAGTTATTCCTTTTGGTATTAAATTAGGCAATTTTTAATTGGGCATAAATTTAATCTGTTAACCACAATAAGCGGTTCCTCATGCTTCTCTATATCCCCAATCATTTGTTCTTGCTCCCTCCAGCAGGAGCCTATATTTATGCTAAATAAAGCAGGGCTGTGTGACTGTGGCTTGCAAGGTGTGGTCATCTGTGGCATTCTAATTTAGTTGTGAACTCTACAATGATTTTGTTGTTCCCATAAGAGCATTTCAGTCAGGTCACCAAGCTCTGGACTGAGATTTTGATTTAAAATGTGGGCAGAGTACTGTTAGGTTATGTTTTCACTTAAAAATACCTCTTAATTTTCCTTTTCTGAGCTCCACAATGAGGGAATGAATTAGATGACACTCAGATGGATAGAACGTGGTTACTATAGAACACTGTGGCTATGCTGGATCTGATCAAAAACTTGCCTTGTGCAGTGGTTTTGTCTCAAATAAGGAATAACTATTTGAGGCTATTATCTTTACTAAAACAATTACTAAGTATCATCCATCCTTGTTAAGGCTAAGGACGTAGTCCTCATCACATATCTCAAGTCCTGGAGACTGATGTTTACGTATATCTTTTTAGTTTAGGATTTAATCTTACAAGCAGAATTGCTGAACTTCGTTTCTCATTTTAAAAGCTGTTTTGTTATGTTGACACAATACCAAATACTTGCTTTCGCTTGCCTAGTTCATGCTAATAACTGCTTTTCATGATCAGGCCATATTCAGTATGCATTATCCTGGAACTCTCCCTAATGTTTTCTGATTTCCTTAGCCAGTTTAGGACTTTTCAGTTCATTCCTTCTGGCATATATTCTTCTGAAATGAATCTAATATGCTGTCCAATTATTAAATTTTACTGTTATGCTTTTAAAGATAATTTTTATAATCTTCACAGGCTATCACCATACTACTAAGTGTCTTTAGATGATTGGTAAATGTGTTTTTTATTATATCCTGATCTGAACCTCACTCAAGTAGTACCATGCTGGTTTTACTCCTATGACTATTGACTGTTTCTTACTCATTTCTTCTGGTTTTAAATCCATGAAATTACTTTATTTCTTGCCCTTTGATTACTTGTATAACCACTTCTAATTTTGTATTCCCCTATGGCTATAGTCTTGCAATTAGGTTTCGGGTACTTTTCTGTGAAGCTAGGAGACTGCTCTGAACAAGGGGAATCAAAGCATGACCGGAGTACTGCTCTCCTCTGGCTTTACTGAGAGTCTACTTAAAGCTGGTTAGAATATCTCCGGCTGCCACGGTCTTGTTTGTTTTAACTCTGTGTCCTTGTCTTTTGAGATCTTTATTCCTTAGTAATGGCTTCTGTTCTCCTCTCTGTTCATGAGCTTTTCCTAGGCAATGCCCAGGCTTTGCTTCTGAATATTAGTCCGAAGTGCTGTGGCCCTGGTACCCAGCCTGTCCCAGCAGAGAGGCAGTGTCTGTGGTTCTTCCGTAGTTTGCTGTTTTGCATCTTCTCCAGCACGTGTTGGGCTCCTTCCACCAAGTGAAGGTTCAGAGCCTTCTGAATGCCTTGCTCAAATCCATGCTTAAAATACAACTTAGTGTGGCATGGGAACTGAAGACAAGTGTGGTCATAAATTGCTGCAAGCGTACATTGAAACTGAGTGTTTTCAATGCAGCAAGAGCTGTGATGTACAGTATCTTCAAACAAGCCATCTTTATTTAGGTGCCTTATTTTGAGTACTTAAGTTGGCGAGGGAAGTAATATACACTAAATCTAAACCTTCTACCTTCTAAATTCTTTGGAATAGCAACTCTTACGGTAAGAACCCCTAATATTCTGCAGATAGTTGGGTGAATTCTTTCTTCAAACCACTCCCCCTTTTTAAAAATTTTTTAACCTGTATTAACTCACCTGTTCTGGTCTTGGTGAAAACTCCAGAAGCCTGGTTTCATATTTTTCTTCAATCAGTTTTGACATTTTTAGTCATACACCTTTTGTACATGCAGTGTCTTTTCATTTGATCCATTTTATTGGAACTGCTATTGAGCATAGAGGCACAATAGTTTGTATCTGTCTACTTAAATCTCTGTCAGATGAGATACAACATTATGAAATCTTCACCTTAAAATACCTGGTCTCAAAATGGATGTCTTTCACATAAGTTTTTGCATTTAGTGTTGTGCCCTTTCCCTTTTGGAAGAATTATGTTGTTCAGGCAAGGATGTGAGTATAGGCAGCTTGGATACAGTTGTGTTTTGAAATAAATAATAGGTTTCATGTCATTTGAAATGTATAACTAAATCTGAAATGCATGATAAGGAACTTTTATACAGTATTTTCATCCTTGTCTTCATGCTTCAAGAGTGTGACAGAATCACTGGAAGAAGAGACACAGAAAGTACTGTTCTCCAGGCCTCTGAGTTAGCTTTGTATCTGGGGAGGTGTGTGTTCTTAATATAAAATCAAGAAGACTAATTTCTGCTTAAAAATCTTAATTTCCTTTAAGAAACCTGAGAGATTACAAGGTTAATAAAACAGAATCTAAATGCTAAGTTTTCCTTCACCTATTCTTCAGTTACTCACTATTTAAGAGATGATTAGTTAAGTATCATTTTACATGTGTAATTCATTTATTCATAACTCCTTGCTGGAGACCAGAATTAAAATGATGTAGTAATGTTTGTGGGTGGCCAATCGGAATTATGGTAATGTAAACAAATGGAGTTGACAGATTGTATCAGAGGGCTTTTGATATTGAAGTGAATATTATTTTATGTAACTTTGTATAATTGACATATTTTGAGCAATTTTCTTTCTCAACCAAATGTTATAAACAATGTATTAATTTAAATAAGTGTAAAGTTAAAGTTGAAAGGTTTTGATATAATTAAAGACAGCTCCCGGCGACTGAGGAGTTATGTGTACTGATGCAAAGGAAGAGGAGGATGATTGAGAATGCAGCATTTCTAATATTTATATATAGATATATACACACACATATATATGTATTCATAAATATAGAAAAATGTGAGAGAAATACATTAAAAAATGATGCGAATTACTGTATTCTACAGACTGTGCTGAAGAACTTTAATAAAAAACATTATTCAATTTCATTCAGATACTAGAGGGAAATTCTTTTTGCCTGAAGAGTTTTCCCTTTGTTCCTGAAGCACTTTTGGAGCTCTGTAATTACTGCTCTAAGAGAGCTTAAATAAGAGCATATTCTTTAGTCTGTGTTATCGTGTAAAGTCCAAAAGGTAAATCAGAAAATGTTGGGAGAAGCCAATGATGTCACGCACTTAATTCTTCAGAACAGAGAACTATTACAAGCTTGTTCATATAATCTCTGTGTAGCCATATTACCTCTTGAGAATTCTTTACTGTTTTTTTTTTTTCCCCCTCTGCATCCAGGTGTTTGTGACCAGAGTTTTGGAATACATGTAGCAGAGTTGGCGGCTTTCCCAAAACATGTGATAGAAAGTGCAAGAGAGAAAGCATTGGAGCTGGAGGAGTTTCAAAACATTGGCAAGTCCCAGGAATCTGAAGGAGAACCACCAGCCAAGAAATTGTACAGAGAAAGAGAGGTTTGTTATCAGAAATGCTTTTTAAAATTTGTTTAGCTGGAATAGCCCAAGCAAAATAGTTCAAGGATTCAGATTCCCCCAAAGCTTGAGGATAATTAACCATAATCTCATTTTTCCATAACAAAATGTTTTAGCTATGAAGTTCATTAGGAGTTGAAGAGATGTTCAAGGATAGTGGGTTTTAGTTTAGATTCATTTCAAGTTAACATAGGCAAGAATTTTATCTAAAACCATAGTGATGAGAATGAAACTAATTTTTTTTCTTAAAGAATAATGATCAGCAGTTAGTATGATTGGCATACAACTGGAGTCATACAAGGGACCATGTCTCTAGCTGTCCTGTGGGGTTTTCTTTATGCCATGAAGCAAGCCAGAATTTTGTGTTCATCACTTTTGTTGGCTACTTAGTTTGTATGCAGTCTTTCTTGGGACTTAAGGTACAGCTTTTGTTTTAATTGTTGCTTAGATTATTCTTGGCTCTGCAGGTGGGTTGCACCTGGTTTTGCTCCCCCTTATTTGAGGGCTTATTAGTGCAGATTTCTTGAAGCTCAACATGAACATGTTCAGATCTGTTCACATCAGAGAAAAGCTGAGTACACAGCTTTCTCCTTTGTGCCCTTCCATGTCCCATTAATAAGAACATGTCTCACAAGCCAGTCATATTAAAGGACACGGCAGTTTGGACCTGGAATGTCTGATTTACAGACGTCATAAAGTTCTTCCCATTTCACGTGATAATTTTAGCTTGGTTTTCTCTACTCAACTGAGAAGTAAAATGCTCTTGGCTTTGCACAGGCTTCAAGCACAAGTTGAGGAAACTCATATCTCAGCATAGATCTGATCATGTCTTCACTGCATAATACAGTTGTGTAAAACCGTTTGAGTTAACTGTTTTTTCTCTTCTCCCTTCACTTTCTCTTAAAAGAAGCTTCATTAGCAGGTCGTGTAAAGGAAGACAATAGCTTACAGGAAGCTTTTTCAGAATAGCCTGTGTCATATTGTTGCTGGATTAAGAGTCCTTACAGTGACATCTGTTGCAGCCTCCTAGGAAATCCTCCTGCTGCCTTATGATTTGCAGTGTTTTTTGCCAATAGGTCCTCCTTGCTGCATGCGCATAAATCTGCTTACAGATTGTAGTTCTGTGTCCCAGCAGTTAGCCTGAAACTTTGCAGTCTTGTAACTTATTTATCTCCTCCTATCCATCAGTAGCAATCTTGGTAATACTCCAGTACATGAAAGCCTTGAAGCGTTAGTCCATATCCAAAGCACTTTCTACATTTAAAAAGCCTTTGCTCTAGACAGAGGCTGTTACCTGTTAATTTTATTTTCAGTTTCAGAGGTCTACTGCATTTGTTCCTGGCTCAGTAAGTGGATCTGATGATGTGGATGAACGATCTCTGGTTTGTCCTACCTTTTAGTGCCAGGAGGTTCCCCCTCCAACTACCTCAGTTGCTCCACTATTGCCTTTCCTTTGCCAGCTTGCTAGGTATCACGGTGACGTATTTTTCAGATTAGTTGGATCTGGCTGTGTGGTCTTAAGTTAGTTTAAATTAAATTGACATGGCAAACACTTCTGACAAATACAGCATCATCTTTTATTCTTGGATATTTCAGTAATACATAATATTTCAGAAACTCTCGGCAATAGAATGGCATAGCTCTAGATGTCTCACACAGGCAATTTGTCTGCCTTCGTTAACATCATGGTTAGAAGGAAAAGCGTGCTGTTACATTTCCAAGTCCTTTGGAGATTTCTGCACTGAAAGCACGCTGCGTTAGTCCTAGATGATAAAACAAAACTAAGAAAACTTTGTAGTAGAGTTTTAAAATGCAGAATGCAGAGGATTAGACAAAATTCTGTATTCTACGCAAATTGTTTCTAGTACAGGGATCCTGAATACTGTTCATTGAAAGGTTTGTTCTTGCTATTCAATTCAGATTGTTTAGAAGTTTCACTTTGCCTGTTTGTGTAAAAGCATATGCATAAAGCTTAATTATCATCTGTTCTCCTTGGTGACGGCCACTCTCCAGTTGCTTGGTTACAATTTTTTCTTTCCTTTTGCCTATTGAAACATTGGGTTTGATTTACAATTCCTCCAAAAAGGGACTAGTTTGGGTAATATGGCCACTCTGATGCTATTATTGCTAGCAGTCCTCACCTAATGTGGTTGCACACTGGAATTAAATGTGGAACACATGTAGGCGCTCTCAATGTTAAATATCGTATTTCTGCTGATCAACTGATGCTTTTTGCTCATGGATTGAAAGGGGAAAGTACTCCTGATACCAGTATAACTGGATTGTTCTGGTTTTGAGACCATGACAGCAAGTGCAAAAACAACGGTGGTTTTAGCCTGCAAAAAGTTTCTGGTGCTGAATAATCCTTTGTATCTTTGGCAGATTTGGAAAGATCCTACTTGCAATCTAAACATCCTTTCTGTTTTCTTTTTCTTCTACTCCCTCCGTTTCAGGAAGGTGAAAAGATAATTCAGGATTTTCTTTGTCAAGTGAAAGCATTGCCCCTGACAGATATGTCAGAAGAAGACATCAAAATCAAGCTGAAACAGCTGAGAAATGATGTGTTGGCAAAGAACAACAGTTTTGTGAATGAAATCATTTCCCGAACGAAAGTTACATCATAAAAGGTGTCAGAACAGGATACAGCTCTTGAAGTGTGTTTTACATTGCAAGAATTATCATTTTCTTGTCTTGTAGCTTTTATACTTTAAGATACTTGTACTGATTTATGTAGGCTTTTTTTTCTTGGATTGTAATTATTTTGTAAAAGATTCTGAGCACATTCTGTGCCAGATTCCCGCTTCAGTTGTGATCATTGTGTAGTTTTAGAAGTTTTCAATAAAATGCTTTTTCAGTAGTGAAAGAATTATTGACTGTACAAACAAAATGCGTAATATTTTGCCAGAAAAGTGTGCTAGAAAGTGTAACAACTCACATGGCATATAGCTGCCACAGCCTTGAAAAGCAACAGGGCATACCCAAAATCTTTGTCCTATACCATGATTCTTTTTTATATGATGCAATTACATTAATTAATTCAGCGAAGTTTTAGTAACGCTATATTAGTGCTCCATTGGAAAAAAGTATCTAATCTAAGTGATTTGTCATAAAACTTTTGCATGTGTACCTGCGTGGAGTTGGGGTGGGGAGGGCGGATTTTTTTTGTTTGCTGTGTGGAGGAAATGCTCGAGTCAAATATACTACGGCCCTGCTCTTCATGCCTGGGTGGTGGTAACTCTTGCATTTTTGGGTGGTTTTGTAATGCAAGCAGAGACTGGGATGAAGTTTAACACTTTAACTGGAACTTCTGAGTTGGTTATGATTTGTGAGGTCTGTCTACGAAGAAAGAACGCATTGATTTTTTTGCAATGTACTTGCATTGGGACATTTTGAAAGCGTGCAGATACAGGTTTATATTCTCCTTGAAATTTAGCATTTTAAATTGTAGCTCTAGAACACTTTACCTATATTTAAAATTGTCAGTGTTGAAAGATTAATGGGAAAAGGTGTTTATTACATGAGATATAGGAATAAAATCATGCTGAAGATGCCATGCAAACTCTTGTTTTGTGAACGGAAGACTCGTGTCTTGTGTTCAGAGATTGCATCAGTGGGTGTGTGCTGGGGACAGCAGTGCTGCTGTTAAAGCTGTGCTATAGCGCTGCGTCAGGGATTAATGTGTTGCAGTGGTCTGCATTTAAATGTTCCAACAATAGTCATAAAAGAGGTGTGGTGTTCAGCTTGCTGTTGGATAGCACTTGTTTGTAGTTAGACTAGAACTTGGACATCCTAGGCATACTACTCAACAGAAGAAAATAAAGGCTTGTTTGAGAGGTTTGGGTTGTGCATAACAGCTTTTTGGTCTTTAAATTAGAATGCATTCTACTTATAAAGACAAAAACAGACTTGCATTTACTAACAGCACAGTCAATACATGTATTCAGTAGCTGTGTCTGGAAAAGTGTGTAAATGGAAAAATCTGTTACACAAAGTAATGAAAAATATAGCCGGTTTTGCAAATTCAATTGGTTCAAGCACAAGCTATCCAAAAATACAGAATTACACATAAAATAGACAATGTGAATCAATTTAGTGGATCAAATACTGCAATGACACACAATTTGTATTGGATCAAACTGCTTTAACTGTTGCTAGAAACAGGCAGTTCTTGTAAGGGACTGGAATGGCTGGTACTTACAGCCTCTTCCTACGTATGCTGAGGTGTCTGTGGTCTGATCAAAGATGCCCCTTGCTTGGTCTCCTGTCCCCTGTGGGAACAGGCATAAAACCATCGGTGGTTTTCTCTTCCAGGAACTTCTGTTTTCCCCTTGACCCAGTGTGAACTTTCAGTGTGTACAGCACTCCTAGCCAAGGAATTCCTCACGGAGCTGCCACCTGCAAGTGGGACCACTTCTTTGCTTTGAACCCGATTCCTAGTTTGATTCAGTGCCTCTTGTTTTTATTATTTAA